CTGAGCACTCTGGTCTTGGTTAAGAGTAGCCTGTATGATGTTTCCTCTGTGAATTTGAACCCTGGATTTCTTAGGGCAGCCCAGGGACACCACTTCGATGTTGCCAGAAAACTGCTCTTCATGAGGCAATTGACTGGGTTTAGGTCTTTTGGAAAGAGGGGAAGCATCACAGAGCTGGGCAAGCCCTGTCCTGTGGACTGCCACCTTCTCTTCATTCTCTCAGACAGCATTAGGATTCGTTAGGCCTGATAAGTTAGAAATGTTTGGCTAGGATTTTTCCTCAGCCACAATGACTTGAGAAACCAAAGGCAGATGGAAAATCCTCTGTGGATGTTGTGAAGCCCAAACCGTCTGAAAATAGTTTGAATGCATTTCCAAGCCTCGGCAGGCAGCTGTTTTCCTTCACACTAGCCGGCTCCATGCAACTCTGTTCCCAGGGAGAGTGTCTCTGCTGCCTCAGGCCTTCCTGGCTCTTTCCTCACTGGTAATTAAGAGGCAGGTTGTTCCTGAAGAGGAGACTCCACAGATCTGAAGGCACAGTCATGGAGTAACTATGTGAGAACTTCTCTCTCGTGATATTAGTTGCAGGAAATGCAACAGGATCTTACCAGTCTCACTAAAGAAAAAGAAAAATGCCATGACTTGGATCCTGGCTCTGTTCACGTGCCTTTCCCTGTCTCGCCCACAGCACACTGACAAACACCACTTCTGTCCCAACAAGCCAGTTCACAGATCACCATCCATTCATAACCTCAGGCTGCCATAGAACACTCCTTCCTTCCTGCTTGTGAACAAGAACGATCCAATTGGCCCAAGAAACAGGACTGGTGAGCTCTCCCGTCACTCCACCTGAGAGCAACAGCGTCAAAATCACCTGGTAGTTTTTCTTGGTGGATTTTTAACAGCACAGGGATATTTATTGTTGCCAAAACGTAAGTGGGAATATTCTGAGAAATGCAATTTAATTCTCAAGCTTTGGACTGTTTTCATTGTTGGTAATTTCAGTGCTGCTTAGACCAAATTTATCACCGATTATTCTGTCTGCACCAGATGTGGCAGGACTTTGTCATTTTTCCATTTGGGGAATTTTTTTTTTTTTAAGAGGGCCACTCATAGTTCATCCACTAATCAATCTCATTTTCACTTCTGCTTTGACGTCTTCATGGTCACACTGAAATCATTTCTACTTGATTTATAACGAAGTTCTGCAATGGAGCAGCTAGCTCAGAAAGTCCTGAAAAGTGTAGACGGTGTACTCTGACCCTAGGGCAGATGAAGAAAAGAGCAGTCCCAGATAAAGGCCATTTCTCTGCAGAGGAAGAGGCTTTATTGAGGAAACTGTCCCCTGGGATGTCTCTCTGTTAGTGTATCTTCCCACATCCAAGTCTATCCCTTGGCATTTGCCGCTCTGGAAGTTGAGAATAGGCATGGCGGAAGGAATCCTTCCGAGTTTCTCCCTGGTCTGGAAGCGGTGGGACAGCACCAGATCTAAACCGTAGACTTCACTCCAGGCACTGGTACAGTAAGGACCACATGTAGAGATGTCTGTGAAACCCTGGGTTCTCCTGTCTTTCACCATCCTGTTTATATCCGAGGCATCTTGAAACTCGAAAACAAACAAATGAACAACAACAACCGCAACAAACCTTGCTGATTTGACAGTGTACATCCCCTCACCTCTTCATCAGGTTGCTAGGTTGTTGAATGTGTTAGCTGAAGTCACTAGGCAGGCCTCAGGGAACTGTGCCCTGACATGCCACTTTTCTTCTGTTTCTGTAGATGGGGGTGGTGGGCACTACTCTGTCTTAGAGAGGGACATAGTCCAAGAGAATCCCACTCTCAGAAAATGTCACCGTCAGTCAGGAAATAGTGGGTGTACAACCAGCTCTCATTTCATGTGTGTTCATGCTACAGAAGGAAGACCATGAGTCAAACTCCAGCCTTCTCTTTCCCTGTAATAGTCGTAGGAACATTCTGAGAACAGTTGAAAGTCCTTGTAGTTTAGTGTGGTGAGGAAAAGGTAGCACCCAGTTGTGCAATTATTCTTACTGAAAGAGAGATACTGTGTGGGGACCGTGTGGGGATTTTTCAGGAGCTAATTTGACAGGAAGTTTATTGAGACTTTTGAAAAGATATATTTATTTTATGTGTATGAGCATGCCTGCATGTACATCTGTGTACCATGTGCAGTTGGAGGGCAGTTTTGAGCCTGGAAACTGAACCCGGATCCTGAGCAACAGTAGCCAGTGCTCTTAGCTATCAAGCCATCTCTTCAGCCCTGATTGAGAGTTTTAGGTGCCATTCAATGACACTCAACAAGTGCTACCCAGTATTCCCAGGTGGTTTGTCCTCTGGGAGCTCTTGACCTCTTTGCCCAGAACCAGGTTTCAAGAACCCTTTGTATAACTGTGAGTGATAACCAGGAGAGAGAAGAAGGCTTGCATTCTTCACCTGCACCAGAGGGGACTCTTGGGCACAGTCAAATTTGAAAACTACTATTTTGATTCTTTCCCGCTCAGAATCTACAAGGGCCTTTGGCTAAACCTCAGGGTCCCTCAAGATTATGCAACCAGCTAGATTAAAGAAAAAGTATCTCTTTGCAAGTAGTGGATTCATTACACTGCTTTCTGTCATACCAGTTCTAGGCTAAAACAGCCACCAGAGCTTTCATCATTGGCATCATAGTCTTTAGATTCTTTGTAAAGTATCCATGCAAAACACTCCATCTTATAGTCTATACATACAGTTCCCAGTCCTCTTTCTCACTGTGAGGATACAGGTTCTTCTGGCCAGTCTCATCTCTTAAGACATGACTCTGTCGGGGGTTTTAGTCGTCTTTCTAGTCTCACAAAGTGCACAGACCACCAGAGCTTCAGTCACCTGAAAGAACCAAAAATGTGCATCCGTATCATTGCTTATACAGTCATGTGTGAATGTTGGTTGCTTAAACAGGGAGGGCTTCTTTCTGTGGCCCCAGAAGTCACTATTGTCCTCTTCATAGCCCCACTGTGGCCCTGCTTAAAAACAAACAAACAAAAGGCAACAGGACAGAATGAAAAGGGAAAAGAAGGATATTAATATTTCAACTTCATTGTGGAATAGAAGCAAACCAAAGGTGCATACTTAAGGATTCAAGGGCAGCACTTCCCTGCCTCGGCTCTCACCTGTGTCCCCGAGGTCGAGGTAGCTTTGGGCAGTGTCAGTCATTCCAGTTCAATGGGCAGAATGGTATCTCTTCACTATCAAGGCACACGCTGGCCTGAAGAAGGTGCTGTTTCCCAGGGAAAGGACTTAGGTTCCCCCCAAGAAATGCATAGGGCCATTCCACAGAAGAGCCAGTGAGGCTGAGCAAGCAGTTGCCTCTGCATCTCTGCCCATCTCTGATTATATGCCGTAAGATTCTTATTTAGGATAACTTTCAGCGTGACTTTGTACAGGTCAGATATGAGCAAGAAAACTTGCTAATCTTGTGACAAACTGTTTACACTCAGGGTGAGGGATACCCTCTCCCTATCAGACTGTGGAGAAACTCTAAAAGTAAACAGCACAGTTGCTTCCTGGGTTGGGGGGGGCATATGGGCGCAGATGTCAGCTGGAAGCAGCATATGTTAGCTACATGACAACAGCGTGTGTGGGTGAAAGGGTCATCACTAGACTTCACCTTTCCCGCCCGCACTGGCCACTCGGAGCCCCATTCCAGAACCAAAGAGTGCTCTGGCTTGGAAGTCAGATCCACGTGTGGGTGAACATGTGTCACTGGGGACTTGTTAGTGGGGTGACTGTTGGAGATGGTCAGTTACAGAGTGTGGGAAGGGCTGTCCCTGTCTTATTTAAAGTGACGTGTGTGGAGGGGTCCATGAGGTCTTTGTCTTGTTAAAAAAAGGTTCTAGCCCGTTCTGAAGGGTGTTGGTTACCTGTAGAAGATACACCCATTCAAGCACGCAAACAGAAAGCACACAGATTCTAGGCCCATGCAAAGCACTAGAAAAGGACTGTCATCATGCCAGACCTCGATGTAGGTGAAGCTTCTGTCACCACACCAGCCAGATAATGGAAAGCATCGCATGGCTCAATTGCCTTTTCTCTGCCAGTCTTTTAAATCTGGCATCGTTTTGGGGGGCAGGGAGGTTACATGTTTGTCTTGCACATACAGAAACATGGGTAAGGTCATGGGAAATCAATGGATTTTAATCCCTGTCTTCTCATGCAAAGATCCCATTAATGAGAAGAAAGGTGTTGCTTTGAGCACTCAACAGAGGTTTCTCTTCCCTTTGACATGCTTGCATACATGTGTGGCTTTTTGGTTTTTTTTTTTTTTTTTTTTTTCAGTGTGTTTTCTTTCTCTGAGAATAAAGCAGCAGCATTTAAATCTGGTTGCTGTTCTTTTAAACATAGAAACCTTAGGGTGTCCAAATGAATAGCCCAGCTCCAAGGAAGACACGTTTAATTCTTTCAAAACATGCTGACTTATGAAATAGTAGGCCCATAGCTCTAAATCAGCAGGCCCTTGGAATTCTGACCCAAATGGGAAAGGGTTTTCATACGTGGGTGAAAAATGAGGACAGGTGGTTTTTAAGAACAGGCCAGCCAAACAAAAACTCAAGCTTTGTTCTTAACAATAGACTCTTTTGTCCAAGGGGGTCAAGACCTTTCTTATTCATCTTTAGTATAATTCAAGGTATTACTTTTCCCCATTTCAGTATATAAATTGTAAATTGTTGTTTTATTACTAGAGCATGTCAAAAGGACAATTGCATTGGGCAACTTGGGCTGCTGGGTATGGCATAGCAGGAGATCAGGGACTAGAAATTGGGGTGTGAGTAAACCCTTTGAGTGTTTAATGTCCTGCCCTGGTTAATGGATGCCTGCGATTTTGAGGGGTGGTGTGGGGGATGGTAAGACTAGCCAGCAAGTATCTTTTCTACTTGGAATCTTAGTGTAGTTCTGGGCTGGGCATGTCTTCAGTAAAATAGCTAATGACTGCTTTTTAAAACTCCTAGCTGTCTGCCCAGTTGTTACAACACCCTCTGGCTCAGTGGGCAGCTTTTGCTCCAGACAGTCCCAGGTGCTCTGTGGGTACCTTGGTGAGTATACTTGTCCCCTTTCTTCCTACTTTGACATGGCGATACCAAGTCTTTTATGTCTGTCTCCATTGGGAACTGGTCAGAGGGGAGGCAGGATTTTGAAAAAGAGCTTGTAGGTGAGCAGTCATCAGAGTGCCTGGGATTTTCTAGTCGAGTCAGTTTCATGAGCAGAGCTGATGACTAGCTTGGAAGTAACACACTGCCCCACGTGCAAGAATGACTACCAGGTGTGCAGGGATTACAGAGGGCTTTAAAGTATTGATCCTTTGATCCATGCAGAAGCCATTTCTGGAGGGCCCTCGGGTGTTAATGAAAGGTCCCTTTTGCAGAGTTTTTGTGTTCTGCATTCCTATTTTTGACACACTGTAGTTGTTCAATTAATGATTCTTGTGCTGAACCAAAATAAAAGGAGATCCCCTTCCCCCCTTTAAAGTGATGGAGGGGGGCTCCTGGGAGAGTCATGTTGGTGCCATCATCTCTAGCCTTATTGTTGACATGTCTGGGTTGCATGAGAAAATGGATTGTCACAGGTTAGGCCCTCAACCAGCTGGACCTGGAGACCAAGCACAAGCCCCTCGGCTGCACATATTAGAATGGGGGTCACCAAAGCCACAGATGTCTGCTACTTTCTGATTTGGAACATCATCTGGTTCCATTAGCATTGACTGAATGCCTACCACTGTTCTGGGGGCGTGAATCCACAGAATATAAGATTTGAACAAGCCAACACTCAAGGAATTCAATGGCTGAGTTGTCCCTTCGCCAAGGACAGGAAGAGAAAAACAGATCAAGTTAGTTAGGTCTCTTGAATTATATGTGAAGGTCCTGCATAGAAAGGGATGATTTTACTACCCTGGCCAAAGCCTAATTCTTTGGATATCCTATTTTGTACCGTGCCATGCCTGGCCTCGCTTCTTAAGAGCTATCATGACTTAGAGTGACTGAAGCTGGGGTTTTCTAGTACAAAGCAAAACAATAGCCCCAGTTCTGTTAAGAGTTTATGTTTATCATTTGATTTTGGTATAGAAAGGCTCACAGTGGCTGGGGGAAACAATGGGAATAAAAACAGTAAAATATTCGATCTGTACTGGGGTAGTTCTTGTATGAAGCAAATTACAGTTGGTTTCTAAGTTCTGAATTTCTAGTTTTATTCCACTTTCTTAACCAAAGAGTTAAAATGTGCTGTTTCTTTCCGTTCACTGACCAGTGTTTTGGAAGGGAAAATGGAAACAATGAGTAAAGGCAAACCTCTGTCAAACCCCTCACGTTCCTGTTAACCCAGGTCACACTACCCATCCTCAGGATCCGGGTTAGTGATGGAAGGTGACAGAAGGCTGAGGGGACAGTCTTCTCTCTCTCTCTCTCTCTCTCTCTCTCTCTCTCTCTCTCTCTCTCTCTCTCTCTCTCTCTTCAGGAAATTGTGGTTTGGAGAAGTGAGTTCCTTGTCCTTGTCCCAGAACTGTCTGGTAGTGGAGCTGACACTGGAATTCAGGTGTGACCTGGCTTTGCTCCATGCTCCCCACAGGCTCCAAACTCACTTCTTCCTGCTTTTCCTCTCCCTCGGGAAGCCAGACCCATTGACTCTGTAACTGTTTTACCTATGACCTTATGAATCTTCCCCTCCCCTTCTGCCCGGCAAGCAGGCTGAGCCCTTTCCTGGTTCCTGGAGTAGTTTTTCTCCTTAGATTCTCCTGTTTCGTTATTTTCAGTTAGTAGTTGTCTAGAGCTTTCCTCTTCCTTTAGTGAAGAAGACATATGAAACCCCAGCACTCCTCGGGGAATCTGGTATTGTCCTGAACATCTCTGAGGATGAAGGTGCAGATGAGGGCACAGATTTTCTAGGTTCCTGTATAGTGGGAGGCTTTCCGACCCCTCTAACCTAATTGGTGAACTCCAGACCAATGAGAGACCGTGTCTCAAAAGAGCGTGTGTGTACACACACACACACACACACACACACACACACACACACACACACACTCGGGAGGGCAGATTTCTGTGCAGTGGAGCTCTGCTTTTTTTTTTTTTTTTTTTTTTTTTTTTTTTTTTTTTTTTTGTCTTAGAAATAGTAGCTGAGTGAGTGAGTGCTGGGTGCAAGCATCCAGGATGTGGGTGAATCTCTCTTCAAGACTGTGATTTGAACATGCATTCAGTGGAGTCAGCCTGTGTCAAGCAGCTCAAGAGCCTCCCTGTCACTTTGTTTGAACTATCCCTCCATTCCAAGGAGATGCTGGGAACAGATAGCAGTAGCCAGCAGGGCGCCTCTTCCTCTCTTCACCAGGTCAAAGGAGAGCTGCTGACATGCAGGTCACACTGACCCTGACCTGGTTCGCCCTCAAGCAGTCCTGTTCTTTTCTCCTGTTAAATTCATCGTCCCAATAACACATAAAGGTGAGGTGGACCAGCCTCAGTGTGAAAGCTGGACTCTCACAGACCTGTCCATCACTCAGGCTGCTCATAGCTGGGCGTGGCTGTGTATGTGGCCCAACACAAACACACTTAAGACTTTATGAGGGCTTTTTTTGTTTTGTTTTGTTTTGTTTCTCAATTTAAAAAATCCAATTGTGTGTTTCCCAAGCGTGAACTTTGTAGATGACAGCTTCTTTTTGCAATGTCAAAAGGTTGGAAGCGCCTGATTCTAGAGGCAGCTGGGAACAGAGGTTCATGTCAACCATCCCTGCGCTAGGGGGACAGAAGCAGGAGAATCATGAGTTTGAGGCTAGCCTGGGCTAGACTCTGTGTAAAAGGAGGCAAGTCCAGACTTAGGTTACAGCAGAGATAGCTGGTAGTCTCTCTGTGAATGCCTAGCTGAACAGTCACAACAATGAACTCACTGAAGGATTTAGTGCAAGGCTTTTAGTGGCCCCATTAAGATTTAAAGATGAGGGCTGGAGAGATGGCTAGTGCTTTAAGAACCCTTGCTGCTCTTTCAGAGGCCCCAGTTTTGGTTCCCAGTAACCAGCTAGGGGCTCACAAACATCAATAACTCCAGGTCCAGGGGACCTGATGCCTCTTCTGGCCTTTACGATACTGAGCACAAACATAGTTTGGAAACCTACATGTGAGCAAAACACGCATGCACATAAAATCAAATAAAACTTAAAAAACAAAGCCTTGAAGTTGGCATTCCAAGCACAGACGTGTTTGTATACTTGAAGGCATCTTACAAAGCAGCGTCCTTGGGCTTGTCCCAGACCAGTGGAGTCAAAGGCACTGGGTGGGGCACATCTGGGAGGCTGCACACTCTAAACAGACTGCAGGTGCTCCTGACGTCACTCAAGTTTGCAGCTGTGAGAGTCAGTGGACGCTCTGACGATGCAGGTCTGTTTACTCACAGACACCCGTGTGGAAGGTTTCAGATCCAGTGGGGCCTCTGTTTGATCAGCTGGTGCTGCAAGGGAGGTCCCCCAAATCCACCGCACAGTCAGAGTTCTTACCATGTGCTTTCCCATTTCCAAAGTACCTACAGACGTTGAGGTAGATCTGTTACTGACAGATCATGCAGAACCCTTGCTCCCTGTCTGCCATATGGAAGGGTCTTTGATAAGTGCACAGGGAAGTGAATTGGGCACATGAGGTGAGCAGCATCTTGACATCGGACAAGGGAGTAATCCCTTCATTCAGGTGTCTTCAACTAGGCAACTGTGGGCTCTGAAGGAGATTCTTTTGTGTTTTGTATGTGTGAGATTGTGTACATGTGTGTACACAATGAGTATGCCGTGCCTGAGGAGGGCAGAAGAGGGTCCTGAATCTTGGGACTGGAATCGCGACAGTTATGAGCGGCTACGTGGCAGTGGGAACCAAGCATGGCTCCTCTGCAAGAGCAGCAAGCACTCCTAACCACCAAGCCATCTCTTCAGCCTCCAAAGGTTGTCCTCGAAGCTGATTTTTAATGTACATGAGACAGGTTTAAGACAGAAGTTAATGTATAATTCCCTAGGATAGTGTTTGGTCAAAACACTGACATCCATGTTATGGCTTGAATCCCATCCTGACACGTTCCATGGGGTTTGGATCTAGCCAAGAATGGAATGTGAACTCCACTGTCCGAACCAAGCTAAGCGTCCAATAACGGAGGTTTTCATTCTCCAGATGATATTTTCCTTCAAGCAGGTGGGACTGTGACCAGCTCTCGGGAAGTGTAGCAGGGACTGGACCTGGGCAGCACTGCGCCTCCCAGGACTCTGATGTGCTTTTGAACCACCCCGTGCTCTCCATTCTCTCCTGGACTAGGAACATTTCAGTACAGTTCTTACTGCTATTCTTGGGCATCGCACTATTTCGAGAACTTCCCAGTTCTGCTCTCATGACTTACCTCACTACTGAGGTGTGAGAAGGGTAGCTGAGAGGGTTAATTTTCCTTCTCACAAGGCTTTAAAATGGGAAGATCTCTACATTAATGACAGGTACAAATAGAATCCTAAGATAAATGTCTCACACTTGCAGCAATCTTGGAAAGACAAAAGTAAAGAGAGGACCTCCTCAAGGGATACTAACTCATTCAACAGTACTTATCCAGTGTCTTCTCTTGGCACCAAGTGGTTACCACAGAAGCAAACCCTTGCCATTGGAGATTGTAATTCTGGTGATGACAGACAAGTAGTACTAAGGATTCAAGGAGAAGGCACAGTCTGATAAATGCTCCAGAGACCATGGGTAGATCAGGTTTGGGGGGACAGAGGGAAGGATGAGTAACATTCTCACATGGCCTGGCATGGAAGTGTTGTTTAAGAAGGTAATATTTCAGCAGAGACTGGAAGGAGATCAGAGTGGCTGCGCAGGAGGAGCATCACTGCACAGGAAGCAGCCAGACTGTCCCTGGCATGTCCTAGGACGATCGATCAGAAATATCCTAGGAGATGGGATTAGGAAGATAATGAGGAAAAGTCCATGCAGGATCCTGTTGGCCGTTTAAGAGCTATGGCTAGTCCTCTGAAGACAGGGTGGTTTCACTAAAGGTTCACTATGGCTGTTCAGTGCAGAATGGAACACAGAGTAGC